TATAAGGTGTAAAAGAATACTTTGAATCCATACAAAAGAAAAAACAATAAGTTAGGGCTGAGTTTTAAAAAGGTATGCACTGTGTAAGAAAGGCCAAAGGTGAAATACATTCTGCATTTCATGCATACTTGAGTAAGAAGATCTTTTTTTTTTTCTTTTTTTTTTTTTCTTTTTTTTCAAGACAGGATTTCTCTGTAATAGCCCTGGCTATCCTGAAACTTAGTCTGTAGACCAGGCTGACCTCAAACTCACAGAGATCCACCTGCCTCTGCCTCCTGAGTGCTGGGATTAAAGGCATGAGCCACCACCACTCTGCAAATAAAAAAATCTTAACATTTGCTGTTAGATAATCTGATCCTTAACATACATTCAAAAAAGCTTATCTAGGAAACAGTAGAACTTTTATTTCGTACCCAAAGCTTAATAAGATCCTAAAATTAGAAACATGTCAGGTATTTTGTCATTATTTTCTTTGAGCCCAGTATTTTATGCCTAATATTTAGAGGTAAGATGTCTCATGTTGAAATCTTATATAAGCACACATGTGAGGCTAAAGAGATGGTTCAGCAGTTAAGAGCATTGCTCCTTCAGAAAACTCGGGTTCAGTTCCTAGAACCCTCTTCGTAATTCACAACCATCTGTAACTCCACACCCTTTTCTGATTTCTACACATATACATACACAGGCAAACCATTCATTCATTTAAAAAATATTTTTTTGAAGAAGCATGCATTCAATAAAAATAGATACTGAGATAAAGTAGCTAAAATACTAGTAATAAGGATCTAGGCCACTGATTGTCAGTAAGGTTTTGTTACCCCATGCATCACTCAACTAGTTTTTCTGACCCATTTCAAGCCCTATCAAGTTAGGTCTCCTGAAGACTAAGAATCTACACTCTTATTAATAGGATTCCTTAAGCACATGAATATTTAAAAACCCCAGAAAATGGTGAAGCCAAGCTTAGTATGGTGATTCATACCTGTAACCCACCACCCAGGAGGATGAGAAAGAAGGATTGCTCTGAGCAATATACTTGTTTAGTCTTATCTGGATACTGTGGTCAAGGCGGGTTATGAAGAAAACAGCAAGAAACAAAATTTATGTTTTCATAGCATTTACTTTGTCTCCACAATAAACAGCTCTCACCTCAGAGGTATAAAAGTTTATTCTGGAGCCAAATATGGATGACCCCAGGAACACAGGTTATCCCAAATACTATATTCCAATATAGTATCAGTTTAGTAACAGAGCAAAAGAAGTTTTAAATCAAGACATTTTTCAAATACATTGGTGGAGGGGCTGCAGAGGTGGCTTAGCAGTAAGAGCAGTTGCTACTCTTGCAGGAACCCAAGTTCAGTTCTCAGCACCTATGTGATGGCTTACATCTGTAACTCCAGTTCTGGGGGAGATCCAGTGCTCTCTGGATGTACTGCCATGCATGCAGTCAAAAACTCAGACATATAAAAACACACTGGTGGAAACATTAGGCAAGATACAGCAAAACAAGAAAATCTCTGCTATTCGCCTCAAATATATAAACTGATGATTATTCTTAGCCTTTGGGTTGGTGAGACCTAGGGGTCTGTCTGTATATTTTTAAATATTTACCTAATAGTCACAAGGATGTTGGGTCATAGATAAAATTGGATAATAAATGGCAGTTTAGCAGCTAAAATAGCCCAAGATGATTTGGATCTGAGCCTGAAGCTTAACCATCATCTCTGGCATTTTAATTGTTAATCAGCTTCCGACCAACACCACTGCCACTCCTACTCTGTAGCCAGTCATTGGAAGATCCCAAAGTGAATAGTTGAGTAGATGTGAATGTCAAAGAGTGCTTAGGAAGATAGTAAACTAATATTAAAGCAAATGTATTGCAGGAATGAGGAATTAGTTTGTAGCAGTTGGGAAAGATGTCTGATGCGGTACTTGAGCAGAGACTGAATGAGGTGATGATCAAGTTTTGTCCTTTTCTGGAGAAATGGTGATCCAGGCAGAAGGGAAAACAACTACAAGGGCCATCACCCAAGAAGTTGTTTTCTATAATCAAGGGATCAGAATGCCAACATAGCTAAAGTCAGAATGGATTGAGTGAGAGAATAAAGGAAGAAGGACGAGCATAGTCAAGGGCTATAAAATGGTAAGTCATTCGTGTTTCTGAAAAGATATAACCTAAGGTGAAGGAGAAAAAGTTGTTGCAAGCAGGGTTACCCTGACAGCCTTTTTGCAAATAGCCTTCAAATTGTAAGAGTTAGCTAAGAACAGATCCTTAAGAGTTTTTGTAGCCTGATTGCATGTGTTCATATCTCAGATTCACTATTGACTCTGTAACCTTGTGCAAATTCAACTTCTGCCTCAGTTTCTCTCTGTAAAATAGATACACTGGTACACCATGATGTATTTATAAAACTTGACTAAATTGACATAAACACAAAAATGTTTAGAGCATAATAGTTACTCAGTAAATATAAGCTACCATTCAAACATAAGATAAATATATCGTGCAGGGGTAGGAGGAGCATTATTTGTAATAGAAAAGATTGGACACAGTCTAACCTGTTAGCAGATCTTGGGTCAATGAATCCTAGAACACAAGTATAGTGGACTCCGGTGCACTTTAAAATTGAGGTGGGTGATATAACATAAAGAAAGTGATAGGTGTATGTATGTATGTATGTATGTATCTCTGTTGAGTTTGTTAGATATTTCTGGGGAAGAATTAAGAAATGCAGGACAGTGGTAGCCTGTGCCATATAAATATTTGCCACATGCTGTTTTACTACCTAAGAGTTTCACATAAACATGTAAATGAGAAATGGAGTATGCTAGCTGGCAAAGCCCCCAAAACAGAAGTATTCCTTCATGTTTGCAAATAACATTTCTTTTTTTTTGTTTTGGTTTTTGTTTTTCGAGACGGTATCTCTGTGTAGCTTTGGATCCTGTCCCAGCACTTACTCTGTAGCCCAGGCTAGCCTTGAACTCACTAGAGATCCGCCTTCCTGTGCCTCTGAAGTGCTGTGGTTAAAGGCATGTGCCACCACCACCTAGCAACATTTCTTAATTAAATGCAAATCATTTCTTAACTTTTGCCCTCAGAATAATATTGCCTTGGCCTTGGAAGTCACCTACCGGGATCGGCTATACAGAGCATATAAGGAGGTGAAGAATCGCCTAGACTACCACATTTCTGTGCAGAACATGCTGCGTCGAAAGGAAGAAGAGCACATGATGGACTGGGTGGAGAAGCATGTGGTATGGAGCATTTCTGCACAGCAGGTACAT